GTTAAGCACGATCCAGAGCTGTTTTGTACTACAGTTTTTGTACTTAACTACTGTTTGATGTCTGAGCTAATTATCACATATCTACATGTGTTAATCCTGGGCTACCCTGTACCAGAATGTGTGCCTAATATCGACTACAACCAAAAGGCTGGCATCTAACAATGATCTACAAGATTTTCAGGGAACGGAAAATATATATCTTGTCACAGACAACACTACAAATAAAACCATAAGTGTGCCTGCGAGCTTATGATGCGAGCTTATGATGCGAGCTTATGATGCGAGCTTATAATGCGAGCTGTTAGAGTTTATTTCGTGCTTTAGTGAAAATAACACCATAGAAATGGTCTATACGTTAAAGATTCATGTCTGAATTTTTTCTGCAATGTTGAGCAGTTGACAAGAGATGTCAGATGACGAAATAAAATATACCGACAGCGTATCGAAACTGTTGGATTACAAGCGACAAAACCTCACAAGTTGCCTGAGTATCAAATCTGTGTAAATAACATTTAGCTAACCTTCGTGCATTTCTACCTACAATTAATTATTTAGTTAGTTTGTTAGTTAGTTTGTTAGTTTGTAGGGTAGCTAAGGATAACTGATTGTTCTCACGGAAAGATACGAAACATGGACGGCCGTTTTTGCTTCTCCCATTCTCCCCTTGTAACGGTATGAATAATATAATATAATGATATAATATATTAATATATATATAATATAATAATAAACCAGAATTATTCTGGTTTTAACAACTCAATAATGCGTGAAATTTATAAAAACAATAATTTATAATAACAAAATAAACTTCGTTTATTTATTAAATTCTAGAAAAGGCTCCAAGAATCTTTAGAAGGTCTTCGCTCTTGACAACTCCTTGTGTTATTTATAACGGCATGTTTGTATTTTGTATGTTGTTCACATTCACTCAGTCTGTATTAAAATTCAGTTTGTTGTCTGAAACAACAAAATTTACCCATGACTTTTACAGAACGCAAAGTCACATTCCCTGTGATAAACACATTACAGGATTAGTAGTAGTTCCTTCAACTTCCTGACACGAGCTTAGTTTTAATCTCATTTTAACCTCATTCTGGAAACTTTCAAACATCTACGTTGTTTAAACATAATGAAATCTTAACCTGATTTCACGACATTCCACTGCCATGAAGTTCCTGACTATGTATTTTTCAGTTTCTTGTGATACTTGTAACTTTGTAACTTGTCGGTTTCCCTTTAATTTTGCTGGATATTTCCCCTCACATTCAGATAAACAGTGAGAGGGCTGCTCCTTCCTCACGTCTAGTGATACTTTACAATTGGCGGTTATTTTGTTTTATCGGACTATAAATATTATGATACCTTACTTGATGTTATTTAGACGACTTATTTGTTTAACAAGCGGGATTTATTTTCAATAAATATTAAGTAAGTTAGAAGTAAGTTTGTTATAAGTAAGTTTGTTATATCCTTATAATGCATATCGATGTATTTCGCACGGAGAATTAACAACTAACGAGTCACATAACGCCACTAACACAGTGATTAGGTAACACTGTAAAAGCTTGTTTTAGTTTTACCTTATATGGTAGTGTAACTATGGTAACACTGCCATATAAGGCAATACTGAATTGTAGGAACGTGATTGTTCCCACAATGTGTTACAGCTATTACTTTCTTACTTTACGTTATATCGGAATGTGATTCAACTATCTTACCACTGGAACTTGGCACCCAGTGTTGCACTTGCAGTATGCACTATATTCCAAAGTACTGCACTGTGTTACATGTTCTATATTATATATATATATATATATACTCCTATATCGATTATAGCTGCTGTGATCGTGTTGACCTGCTAGCTGCCTTTAAAAACACGATAGTTTTGTCATCTGTGTGTTCTCTCCGTCTTGTTCTGTGCGCGGCGCCATGTTACATGTTGTAACCTGGTTTGTGGTACGTTGGAATTTTACATTCATTTTCATATCTGTATCTATTGTTATTTATTTATTTTTTAAGTTCGCTTTCAATTTTTCACTGATCCAATCATCAAAAATGTATAAAGCATTCCATTTGGTCATATTCATTTAGTTTTAAATAGGGCATACAAACCAGAAAGGTTCACACTAGCTTCTTTTAACATAGCCAAACAGGCTAACATGTAAAAAAGTCAAAAGATGAGCAGTTCTGACTGCTTCTAATGTCGATGTTGTCATATATTGTCGGAATAGTAAGATCACTGCAACTTCAGACAACAAATTCGTTTATCCGCTCAGATCACCGCTGTTATGTGGCCGCCACTTTTATGCACGTAATCACTATAACTCCAAATTTAGCGAAATTTATATTTGTGAGATCAATATTTAAATATCAATCTCACGAATTTTCACGATGATGTGAAATTTTGTTTCGAAGAATAATGGGTAATATTTACTGAATAATATCAAATAGCTACCTGCTACATGCTATAAACCGTACGGATTCAAGCTGTAAATTTAGCTTACATTCGGCATATTCTGCGAGGTGTCACAAAGTTATGATAAAGCAATCTTTTCGCCGTTTTAGAATTTTTACAGCTAGACGTTCAGTAACTTTCTACTCTCGAATTCCGTTCTCTGTTTAGAACTTTTAACTTTGATAGGCAAAATTTTTCGATGCTTAAAGTTTGAAATTGAACGGTTACATATTTGTGTAACTGAATGTCGTTTTACTGACAGGATTTCGTCTGTTTATACTTACGATAAACGAATCCGCAATTACTCTAATTGCCAGCCTTAGCGGAATTCAAATTTGCCAAAGGAATTTGACGCATTTGCTGCATTTCCATCGTTTTCTACGTTTTGTACCCCACTTCTGAGAGGAAGATGAACGTGAGACTAGCCGTTCTGACAAACGAGCAGGAGGAAGAGGAGGCAGAGATCAGGACGGAGGTGAAGGAGCATATCACTAACAGACTGAAGAGACTGGTAGGTGAAGGAGCATATCACTAACAGACTGAAGAGACTGGTAGGTGAAGGAGCATATCACTAACAGACTGAAGAGACTGGTAGGTGAAGGAGCATATCACTAACAGACTGAAGAGACTGGTAGGTGAAGGAGCATATCACTAACAGACTGAAGAGACTGGTAGGTGAAGGAGCATATCACTAACAGACTGAAGAGACTGGTAGGTGAAGGAGCATATCACTAACAGACTGAAGAGACTGGTAGGTGAAGGAGCATATCACTAACAGACTGAAGAGACTGGTAGGTGAAGGAGCATATCACTAACAGACTGAAGAGACTGGTAGGTGAAGGAGCATATCACTAACAGACTGAAGAGACTGGTAGGTGAAGGAGCATATCACTAACAGACTGAAGAGACTGGTAGGTGAAGGAGCATATCACTAACAGACTGAAGAGACTGGTAGGTGAAGGAGCATATCACTAACAGACTGAAGAGACTGGTAGGTGAAGGAGCATATCACTAACAGACTGAAGAGACTGGTAGGTGAAGGAGCATATCACTAACAGACTGAAGAGACTGGTAGGTGAAGGAGCATATCACTAACAGACTGAAGAGACTGGTAGGTGAAGGAGCATATCACTAACAGACTGAAGAGACTGGTAGGTGAAGGAGCATATCACTAACAGACTGAAGAGACTGGTAGGTGAAGGAGCATATCACTAACAGACTGAAGAGACTGGTAGGTGAAGGAGCATATCACTAACAGACTGAAGAGACTGGTACGCTACACAAGTACTGTACTCCACTGACTTAACGTGTAAACTGTAAAGAACTGTCGTTTAGAGAGCTGTCGTTCATGCCAACAGTCAATAGATTGGTTAGGATCTAGTAGACATGTATTTTGTGGAGGCCTCATTATGCTGAATCATTATGCTGAGTTATCATCACATATTTTTAAGATCCTGCGAACAATTGAACGTGTTGATGTTAATTGCCAATTGGGAAATAAATCGGTGAAGTCTTTCATTTTAGCCTGATCAAATTCATCCCGCTGCGCCCATTGCATACAAATTTATTGTTGTATATAATCGCACCTATTTTCCAAGTTGTATAATTAATGAATTCTCATATTTCATGTTAATTTATAATCCTTAAAATTTAATTTATTGATTATTATTCTTATTTAGAGTTGTCTTCAACAAACACAATTTTTACACTTTTAAGTTGTAGGGATTGTTAAACCTAAGGAATTAATGAGTTTGCTCAGCGGTCCACCCCAGCACTCGTCTATAGATCAGATCAGTAACTAGGATCCGTCTTAAGCATTAGTTACTTCTTGTGAATTATTTTATTTATTGTTAGTATTTTATTACTAGCCAGCTTTTGTTGCTTTAATCTGTTTATGTAGCTAATCTGTATTCAGACGAGTAAATGTTTATTGTACCATTAAAACATCGGACTTAAATATTCTGATATGTATATTTTCACTAAAGACACCAAAAATGTGAGGGTTCGATGTTCTTAGTACAACATGACGACAGTGTTGTCGCTTGTTTTTCGTTAGTTTTCTAGAGAAACTAGTCAGCTGGAATCTTGATTCTTCATAACGATTCGTCGAATACTAAATCACATAGATTCTGAAAATAAAAGAAGATAAATCTCTCCTCTATAGAATTATTTTCAAAAGAGCTGAGACCGGCACACCTCTTTTAAAATCGATCAGTTGCTCATTGACTTTAACTGTTGCTTTTATAACACCACTTAATTTTGTTCATGTATAACGCTTAAATTTTTTACCTTACACTAAAAATAACTGTATTTTGTATAGGCAATTATAAGCATAGTACTGGTATCAGGCGAAATATACATTTAAAATCTATTAATCCTCTGAATTACCAACAAGAAAAAGATAAAGTACAATACATTAGTACATATATACAATGTACAATGTACAATGTATAATGTACAATGTACATTAGGCCTTCTAATGCATGCAGGATCTCATAACTTCTCATTAAATAGTCCATCTGTCTCTAACACCTGTCTTCTGCAGAGAAAACTGAGACGAGAACAGCAGAAGAGAAAACAAGACAACTCGGAGGACACTGATTCTATAGAGTCGTCTGAGGGTGAAGAACCGAGGAAGAAGCTTAGAACTCTTCTCAGGGAAAAAGGTATGATTCAATAATTTCAGATTTTTATTTCCTGATGATTCATCATCATTTGTCTTTTTTATGCGGAATTCACCTCTATATCTGTAACATATATGTGTAATGAATGATAGGTAAAATGCCTACCATTGAATTTGAGACTTAATAGAATTGAAAAAGTGTTACTACATTTTTTAAAAGTCAATAAAATAAAATACATTTTTCTCCAGGGTTTACATTTCTGATAGACGACCAGCGAAGAGTAGATGGAAAGATCAGAACCTTTCCCGAGGAATTGTCCTTTGATGACATTGTCAAGATAAATGTGGGTGGAATCATATATGAAACTAGACGGAGCACCTTACAGTAAGTTATTTGTTTTGGGATATTTAGTTTTCTTGAATGGGGTTAGAATGATGTTTTGTAATGTTAGAGATAACTTTTTGTTGATTAAGACAATCCATAAAATAAAGATCTTTCAAAGGTTCAAACGATCGCGTCCTCAAAAATATTGTGTCAATTGATCGACAATACACTGCTCACTTTACCTGATAGATCACAACTGATAAATTAATTAATTCACCATCTATGTAATATTTTATAACAGATAAATTAATAAGTTCGCTATCCCATAACAATAAATTAATAAGTTCCCATAAAGGAAACTAACCCAGGAGGTTTCCCGACACTCTGCTCGGAGGAGAAGGGTTGGAGAAATACTACTGTAGGTCACATGACATGTATTTCTTAGACAGACACCGCTCAGCCTTCAGTTCCATCCTCTCCTACTACCAAAGTGGAGGTGCGTTATGTCAAGTGTTATGTCACGTGTAGTGTCACGTGTAGTGTCACGTTTAGTGTCACGTGTTATGTCACGTGTTTTGTTACGTGTTATGTCACGTTTAGTGTCACGTGTTATGTCACGTGTTATGTCACGTGTGTCTGTTTTAGTGTGCAAAAAATGAAACACAGCAGGTGAAACGAGTTAGGGTGTTGATCTTTACATGCTGTAAATATCTAATTTTATACCTGGGGAATATAAACTTAATAACGGCGAAAATCAAAATTAATAAAATAATAACGGCGAAAATCAAAATATATAACAGTTTTAGTTGTTCGTCCGTAAGTTTGCAGGGTGTTTAGATTTTGTTGAAATGAGCGTTTATAACTAGAAATCAGCAACATATTAACTGTACACTAAGATAACCACCCTTCCCAGGACTGCTCTGTATAACTAGATATAAGCAACATATTAACTGTACACTAAGATAACCCCCGTCCCAGGACTGCTCTGTATAACTAGATATCAGCAACATATTAACTGTACACTAAGATAACCCCCCGTCCCAGGACTGCTCTGTTTAACTAGATATCAGCAACATATTAACTGTACACTAAGATAACCACCCGTCCCAGGACTGCTCTGTATAACTAGATATCAGCAACATATTAACTGTACACTAAGATAACCACCCTTCCCAGGACTGCTCTGTATAACTAGATATCAGCAACATATTAACTGTACACTAAGATAACCCCCCGTCCCAGGACTGCTCTGTATAACTAGATATAAGCAACATATTAACTGTACACTAAGATAACCACCCGTCCCAGGGCTGCTCTGTATAACTAGATATCAGCAACATATTAACTGTACACTAAGATAACCACCCTTCCCAGGACTGCTCTGTATAACTAGATATCAGCAACATATTAATTGTACACTAAGATAACCACCCGTCCCAGGACTGCTCTGTATAACTAGATATCAGCAACATATTAACTGTACACTAAGATAACCACCCGTCCCAGGACTGCTCTGTATAACTAGATATCAGCAACATATTAACTGTACACTAAGATAACCACCCTTCCCAGGACTGCTCTGTATAACTAGATATCAGCAACATATTAACTGTACACTAAGATAACCACCTGTCCCAGGACTGCTCTGTATAACTAGATATCAGCAACATATTAACTGTACACTAAGATAACCCCCCGTCCCAGGACTGCTCTGTATAACTAGATATAAGCAACATATTAACTGTACACTAAGATAACCACCCGTCCCAGGGCTGCTCTGTATAACTAGATATCAGCAACATATTAACTGTACACTAAGATAACCACCCTTCCCAGGACTGCTCTGTATAACTAGATATCAGCAACATATTAATTGTACACTAAGATAACCACCCGTCCCAGGACTGCTCTGTATAACTAGATATCAGCAACATATTAACTGTACACTAAGATAACCACCCTTCCCAGGACTGCTCTGTATAACTAGATATCAGCAACATATTAATTGTACACTAAGATAACCACCCGTCCCAGGACTGCTCTGTATAACTAGATATCAGCAACATATTAACTGTACACTAAGATAACCACCCGTCCCAGGACTGCTCTGTATAACTAGATATCAGCAACATATTAACTGTACACTAAGATAACCCCCCGTCCCAGGACTGCTCTGTTTAACTAGATATCAGCAACATATTAACTGTACACTAAGATAACCACCCGTCCCAGGACTGCTCTGTATAACTAGATATCAGCAACATATTAACTGTACACTAAGATAACCACCCGTCCCAGGACTCCTCTGTATAACTAGATATCAGCAACATATTAACTGTACACTAAGATAACCACCCGTCCCAGGACTCCTCTGTATAACTAGATATCAGCAACATATTAACTGTACACTAAGATAACCCCCCGTCCCAGGACTGCTCTGTATAACTAGATATCAGCAACATATTAACTGTACACTAAGATAACCACCCGTCCCAGGACTGCTCTGTATAACTAGATATCAGCAACATATTAACTGTACACTAAGATAACCCCCCGTCCCAGGACTCCTCTGTATAACTAGATATCAGCAACATATTAACTGTACACTAAGATAACCACCCGTCCCAGGACTGCTCTGTATAACTAGATATCAGCAACATATTAACTGTACACTAAGATAACCACCCGTCCCAGGACTCCTCTGTATAACTAGATATCAGCAACATATTAACTGTACACTAAGATAACCACCCGTCCCAGGACTGCTCTGTATAACTAGATATCAGCAACATATTAACTGTACACTAAGATAACCCCCCGTCCCAGGACTGCTCTGTATAACTAGATATCAGCAACATATTAACTGTACACTAAGATAACCACCCGTCCCAGGACTGCTCTGTATAACTAGATATCAGCAACATATTAACTGTACACTAAGATAACCCCCCGTCCCAGGACTCCTCTGTATAACTAGATATCAGCAACATATTAACTGTACACTAAGATAACCACCCGTCCCAGGACTGCTCTGTATAACTAGATATCAGCAACATATTAACTGTACACTAAGATAACCCCCCGTCCCAGGACTGCTCTGTATAACTAGATATCAGCAACATATTAACTGTACACTAAGATAACCCCCCGTCCCAGGACTGCTCTGTATAACTAGATATCAGCAACATATTAACTGTACACTAAGATAACCACCCGTCCCAGGACTGCTCTGTATAACTAGATATCAGCAACATATTAACTGTACACTAAGATAACCACCCGTCCCAGGACTCCTCTGTATAACTAGATATCAGCAACATATTAACTGTACACTAAGATAACCACCCGTCCCAGGACTCCTCTGTATAACTAGATATCAGCAACATATTAACTGTACACTAAGATAACCACCCGTCCCAGGACTCCTCTGTATAACTAGATATCAGCAACATATTAACTGTACATTAAGATAACCCCCGTCCCAGGACTGCTCTGTATAACTAGATATCAGCAACATATTAACTGTACACTAAGATAACCCCCCGTCCCAGGACTGCTCTGTATAACTAGATATCAGCAACATATTAACTGTACACTAAGATAACCCCCCGTCCCAGGACTGCTCTGTATAACTAGATATCAGCAACATATTAACTGTACACTAAGATAACCACCCGTCCCAGGACTGCTCTGTATAACTAGATATCAGCAACATATTAACTGTACACTAAGATAACCCCCCGTCCCAGGACTGCTCTGTATAACTAGATATCAGCAACATATTAACTGTACACTAAGATAACCACCCGTCCCAGGACTGCTCTGTATAACTAGATATCAGCAACATATTAACTGTACACTAAGATAACCCCCCGTCCCAGGACTGCTCTGTATAACTAGATATCAGCAACATATTAACTGTACACTAAGATAACCACCCGTCCCAGGACTGCTCTGTATAACTAGATATCAGCAACATATTAACTGTACACTAAGATAACCACCCGTCCCAGGACTGCTCTGTATAACTAGATATCAGCAACATATTAACTGTACACTAAGATAACCCCCCGTCCCAGGACTGCTCTGTATAACTAGATATCAGCAACATATTAACTGTACACTAAGATAACCACCCGTCCCAGGACTGCTCTGTATAACTAGATATCAGCAACATATTAACTGTACACTAAGATAACCCCCCGTCCCAGGACTGCTCTGTATAACTAGATATCAGCAACATATTAACTGTACACTAAGATAACCACCCTTCCCAGGACTGCTCTGTATAACTAGATATCAGCAACATATTAACTGTACACTAAAATAACCACCCGTCCCAGGACTGCTCTGTATAACTAGATATCAGCAACATATTAACTGTACACTAAGATAACCCCCCGTCCCAGGACTGCTCTGTATAACTAGATATCAGCAACATATTAACTGTACACTAAGATAACCCCCCGTCCCAGGACTGCTCTGTATAACTAGATATCAGCAACATATTAACTGTACACTAAGATAACCACCCGTCCCAGGACTGCTCTGTATAACTAGATATCAGCAACATATTAACTGTACACTAAGATAACCACCCGTCCCAGGACTGCTCTGTATAACTAGATATCAGCAACATATTAACTGTACACTAAGATAACCCCCCGTCCCAGGACTGCTCTGTATAACTAGATATCAGCAACATATTAACTGTACACTAAGATAACCACCCGTCCCAGGACTGCTCTGTATAACTAGATATCAGCAACATATTAACTGTACACTAAGATAACCCCCCGTCCCAGGACTGCTCTGTATAACTAGATATCAGCAACATATTAACTGTACACTAAGATAACCCCCCGTCCCAGGACTGCTCTGTATAACTAGATATCAGCAACATATTAACTGTACACTAAGATAACCACCCGTCCCAGGACTGCTCTGTATAACTAGATATCAGCAACATATTAACTGTACACTAAGATAACCACCCGTCCCAGGACTGCTCTGTATAACTAGATATCAGCAACATATATTGTACACTAAGATAACCACCCGTCCCAGGACTCCTCTGTATAACTAGATATCAGCAACATATTAACTGTACACTAAGATAACCCCCCGTCCCAGGACTGCTCTGTATAACTAGATATAAGCAACATATTAACTGTACACTAAGATAACCACCCGTCCCAGGACTCCTCTGTATAACTAGATATCAGCAACATATTAACTGTACACTAAGATAACCCCCCGTCCCAGGACTGCTCTGTATAACTAGATATCAGCAACATATTAACTGTACACTAAGATAACCACCCGTCCCAGGACTCCTCTTATAACTAGATATCAGCAACATATTAACTGTACACTAAGATAACCACCTGTCCCAGGACTGCTCTGTATAACTAGATATCAGCAACATATTAACTGTACACTAATATAACCCCCCGTCCCAGGACTGCTCTGTATAACTAGATATAAGCAACATATATTGTACACTAAGATAACCACCCGTCCCAGGACTGCTCTGTATAACTAGATATCAGCAACATATTAACTGTACACTAAGATAACCACCCGTCCCAGGACTGCTCTGTATAACTAGATATCAGCAACATATTAACTGTACACTAAGATAACCACCCGTCCCAGGACTGCTCTGTATAACTAGATATCAGCAACATATTAACTTTACACTAAGATAACCCCCCGTCCCAGGACTGCTCTGTATAACTAGATATAAGCAACATATTAACTGTACACTAATATAACCCCCCCGTCCCAGGACTGCTCTGTATAACTAGATATCAGCAACATATTAACTGTACACTAAGATAACCCCCCGTCCCAGGACTGCTCTGTATAACTAGATATCAGCAACATATTAATTGTACACTAAGATAACCCCCCGTCCCAGGACTGCTCTGTATAACTAGATATCAGCAACATATTAACTGTACACTAAGATAACCCCCCGTCCCAGGACTCCTCTGTATAACTAGATATCAGCAACATATTAACTGTACACTAAGATAACCACCCGTCCCAGGACTGCTCTGTATAACTAGATATCAGCAACATATTAACTGTACACTAAGATAACCACCCGTCCCAGGACTGCTCTGTTTATAACTAGATATCAGCAACATATTAACTGTACACTAAGATAACCACCCGTCCCAGGACTGCTCTGTATAACTAGATATCAGCAACATATTAACTGTACACTAAGATAACCACCCGTCCCAGGACTGTTCTGTTTATAACTAGATATCAGCAACATATTAACTGTACACTAAGATAACCACCCGTCCCAGGGCTGCTCTGTATAACTAGATATCAGCAACATATTAACTGTGCACTAAGATAACCCCCCGTCCCAGGACTGTTCTGTATAACTAGATATCAGCAACATATTAACTGTACACTAAGATAACCACCCGTCCCAGGACTGTTCTGTTTATAACTAGATATCAGCAACATATTAACTGTACACTAAGATAACCACCCGTCCCAGGACTGCTCTGTATAACTAGATATCAGCAACATATTAACTGTACACTAAGATAACCCCCCGTCCCAGGACTCCTCTGTATAACTAGATATCAGCAACATATTAACTGTACACTAAGATAACCCCCCGTCCCAGGACTCCTCTGTATAACTAGATATCAGCAACATATTAACTGTACACTAAGATAACCCCCCGTCCCAGGACTCCTCTGTATAACTAGATATCAGCAACATATTAACTGTACACTAAGATAACCCCCCCGTCCCAGGACTGCTCTGTATAACTAGATATCAGCAACATATTAACTGTACACTAAGATAACCACCCGTCCCAGGACTGCTCTGTATAACTAGATATCAGCAACATATTAACTGTACACTAAGATAACCCCCCGTCCCAGGACTGCTCTGTATAACTAGATATCAGCAACATATTAACTGTACACTAAGATAACCACCCGTCCCAGGACTGCTCTGTATAACTAGATATCAGCAACATATTAACTGTACACTAAGATAACCACCCGTCCCAGGACTCCTCTGTATAACTAGATATCAGCAACATATTAACTGTACACTAAGATAACCACCCGTCCCAGGACTGCTCTGTATAACTAGATATCAGCAACATATTAACTGTACACTAAGATAACCACCCGTCCCAGGACTGCTCTGTATAACTAGATATCAGCAACATATTAACTGTACACTAAGATAACCCCCCGTCCCAGGACTGCTCTGTATAACTAGATATCAGCAACATATTAACTGTACACTAAGATAACTCCCCGTCCCAGGACTGCTCTGTATAACTAGATATCAGCAACATATTAACTGTACACTAAGATAACCACCCGTCCCAGGACTGTTCTGTATAACTAGATATCAGCAACATATTAACTGTACACTAAGATAACCCCCTTTCCCAGGACTGCTCTGTATCCCCACCACCATCCACCCCCTGGTCTTCCTGGAAGAAGCCAGGTTTTACGAACTAGGCACCAGAATTATAAACAAGTTGGAGCAACCTTTCTTTGTACGACGGAACAGGACTGTCGGTACTATGAAACAGAAGATTTGGTACACGCTGGATGATCCGGCGTCTTCTTCAATTGCTAAAGGGATAGCTTTCTTTGATTTGGTATTCTTTTTTTCTTTTTTTTTCTTTTCATCCAGTGATTTTATTCCGATTTGTTGGCTATTACGTTCTCACTGTGAAATAATAAGCAGGCTCATTTTCAAAGAAACTTTATGATATCTGACATAGTGTAAGTATTTATTTTGAATATTTGGCCCAATAAATCACACATTTCTCTATAAATAAATCACACTAATTCCTCCCTACCCCAGACGTGTATCATGACAGCAATAGCGCTGATATGTGTGAAGACTCTGCCTCAATTCGACCCTGAGAAGAAGATAGATAACGACGGGGATCCCACAAATCTGGAGAGTTCCCACGAAACTGTGTTCTTTATACTGGAGACCATCTGTATGACCTGGTTCACTACCGACCTACTACTCAGGTAGGGGATCATCATGTCACATCATGTCACATGATTCATGTGCAGTGTGCAGTGTGCATTGTGCATTGTGCAGTGTACACTGTGCAGTGTGCAGTGTGCTGTGTGTAGTGTGCAGTGTGCACTGTGCACTGTGCACTGTGCACTGTGCTGTGTGTACGGTGCAATGTGTACGGTGCAGTGTGCAGTGTGCACTGTGCACTGTGCACTGTGCACGGTGTTCAGGCGTTGGAATACTTCCGAATTTCAGCACTCTTTACAACCAAGTTTTTATTTTACCATCATCATCTCTTCAATACCCCGACCCCACCCTACAATTTACATGTGCCCAGGTTTAGTGTGTGTCCTAAGCGGATAGAGTTCGGGCAAGAACGTGCTGAACTGGGTGGACGTGGTATCCATAGTGCCCTACTACCTGGAGCTACTGGTTACTAGCAGAGTGGAGGTCCTTATGGTCATCAGGATCATCAGATTCACCAAGATATTCAGGATATTCAAACTGTCCCGACACTTCAGGGGACTGATAGGTAAATGCTGATCGTATTGCTTGACTTTGGGTTTATGTGATAACGAGGCAACTTTCAGTATGATTATCAAATGGTACTACTAGTTTTCAACATGTTCTCCTTCTTTCTAGATTTAATGCTACGAGTTATTTTTAAAGAGGAATGAGGATATGATTACTAACCTAGTCTCTACTGAAATAATTAATTATATAATTAATTATATAATTGCCTGATTCCCCTTCTCCTCCTAGCGCTGGGGTTAGCTTTAAAGCACTCAGTAAGCGAGATACTGGTACTGTTTGTGTTCCTTTTCGTAGCAGTACTCTTCTTCGCTACTGTCGGCTTCTACTCCGAAACTATGAGCAGAAAAGACGGTGACTTCACTAGGTGTGTGAAATACTGAGTATTATCATTTATTTTAAATTGTAAATTAATTTCAAGTTGTGATTTTAAATGCTATAGTGAATATTTAATCGTTTATTTAGTGTTGCACTTTGCCAGTCGTTAAACGCTCAACAATAACTTACAATAACTTACAATAACTTACAGTAACTTACAATAACTTACAATAACTTACAATAACTTACAATAACTTAAATAACTTACAATAACTTTCGATAACTTTCGATAACTTACAATAACTTACAATAAATTACAATAACTTACAATAACTAACAATAACTTACAATAACTTACACTAACTTACAATAACTTACAATAAATTACAATAACTTACAATAACTTACAATAACTTACATCTACGTATTTACATTCTTTATACAATTACTTGAGTGACCTCATTTAACTGATTTTATCAAGTTCATCTTTTGCAGCTTCACTTAGTCAACTCCAGAAAACAAGCTCGATAAAATCAGTTAAATAAACAATCGTTAATCAGTTGTAGCTCATTTGCTCACACTTCTATCTCCCCTGCTCCCCAGTGTGATTGGAGCGTTCTGGTGGGCTATAGTAACAATAACAAGTGTTGGGTACGGAGATGATGTCCCCAGATCCATCCTGGGGCAGATCAGTGGGGCGCTGTGTGCCATTACAGGTCAGTAACCTGGTTAGTGGTTAGGTTGTGTACTGTTATCATTTGACGATTCAATAATCAGACATTTTCTTGAAAGAGTCTGTCTTTTAACGTTAAGGTTTTACTCGTTTAAGAGTCAGGGTTAAGCAAAGAAAAAGGCTATTTTCATATTGATATTTTATGTTTTTACTGCTAATATGTACTTTAAATAACCCGAATAAGCGAAATCCCATCGTTCCAGGTATCATATTCGTTGCCTTGCCGGTGCCTATCATTGTTTCGCGGTTCAATTACTTTTTACAGGTTATTTTATTTCTTTATTTTCAATTTTACTCTAGTATAAAAGGTAGCTCAGCGCTGATTTTCATTTATTCTATCGAAAATTTATAAGCTAAGATTTATAAACTAAATGCCATAATCTAAATACCATACTATACTCCTAAGCGAATTGTTAACATTTTACCGATCATTACAGTTAGAAAATGAGAAGTGTAGAATTGGAGCTGATGAAGATATATCCATTTTCAAACATCCGCTCTACTCTTCCAAGCGACGGGTTGGTTCCTCTAATCCTGATGTACAATACGTAATGAATAATCTTTTGGTTGATTTGTTGAATATCTGATTTGTGGGTGTGTTATTGAATTTTAAACGGCTTTAGTTCCTAAGACCTAAGCAAAGAGATTTTCAGATCTGGAGCCAAATTAGGAATTTGGGATGATTAGCAATAAAAAGAGTTACTCCACTAGATCATCAGTCACAATTCTAAATCATAACTTGTCCTCAAAAAACAACACCCTTGAGAGCGCAACCTTTAGATTTTATAATATACAGGATGAAGAATGTGTAATTTTCAGGAGCACTTAGAATTAAGAAGTGTAACTCTAAGAGCCTTGAGGGATGTTTTAACGTGTGGTAGAGCCTGTACTTATGCCTAACGTTTACACGGTAAAGGCTTGCCTGCCAGACGCTGTTACACTTACAGGGCTGGGCTGCTCTTTAATTCAAAGCTACGAGCTGTAGAGGATTCAAAACAATAGCCAAGATGTCCACAGTTACTGCATATAATGCTGAGAAAATTCTTCATCAAATAGTTGCCTAGCAACTGGATATAATGCTGAAAACAAGCCACCACGCGCTATTATTACCTATTCAGTTGCTTATCTAACAAAGTAATGCTAGGGAATTATAGCAAGGTTTTGAGATTTAAGGTAGAGAATAAAGCTTTTGTTTTAGTTTACAAAACTACTTGCGCTGTTTTGGATGTTTCGGATGTTTTTCAATAAATATAATAACGGAAATTTAATCATTATCGGTAATCCAATTTCAATGGCTTAATTTCCATAAGCTAAAATCAATAATTTATTTATAAACAATAATCTTCCTTCTCTCAGGGTAAAAAGAAAGACAGCACATCAGATATAGGAGCCAGCAGCGGGAGCAGCAAATCCAGATCAAACAATGACAATACAAGTATAAACAGCTACAACAACAACAACAACAATAACAATAATAATAATAATAATGATAGTAACAGTAATCTACACACAACGTCTCAAGACTTTATAGAAACAGCAACTTCAGCTGTGTAGCGGTTTTAAGATGCTTTTTTATAATCATTACTGAAAAGCATCCTGGCAGTTGAGATGAAGAGGTGTTATTTATCTACAGAGGGTACTCGTTAGTCGTTACTCGTGCAACATTTCATATTGGTGTTTGGTAAAAGTCAGTGGAGAGATTGAAGAGACTTAAAACGGGTAATCTTATTCATTATTGGATATTCTGGATGCTTTGTAGATTACCTGGTAAACTTGGCGATCAAATCAAATGGAAGATCGTATCATGTTATCTGAGCTATTGTGACTGAATTTGGGGGATTATATCTCGTTTGTCGGTGTTGTTTTGACTGAGATGCTGGGAGATTACTTTTACTCAACCTCTTACGACTCGAAAAGCTAGATCATATCTTGGTAGCCACTTATGATCTTCATCCTACTGAAATAAAGTACAAAACCCAGAAACTGGCACGCTGAACCCAATACAAACCTCCTCGTCAGCTGTAGTTACAGTTTCTCTCTGTTCACGATTTGGTTTTTTACAGTTTAGTGTTCCTGGGTATTGGCGGATTGTTCTGCGACATTCTCTTACTTAAATCAGTAAGTTATTTAACTCGGGGTTGGCTTTGTACGCCGAAATTATACTCCTGCAAAAAGGCAGCAATAAAATCAATGCTGTGATTTGTATGTGTAACTGCTCTTATTTAGGCATTAATTTCATCGATGCTTCCTTTATTTATTTGGAACCTTATTTCAAATTTGCCGGTTATTTTCAATAAAGCTGGCTATTGATTTTTTTACGCAAAGAATTTTACTGCATTTTGCTTCGACTTTTTTATTGAGCTTTCTTGATTCTGTTTAATGGTTTTTAATAATTTTTATCGTCTCATTTCACAATTCTTGTTTTATTAGATCACTGCAAGGGACAAAAGAAAATCGCGATTATTTAGGGACATGATGATTAATTACTCAAAACTCGACTATGTCACGTGACTTTTTCAACCCGTTCTCTAGCTGGCCCTGAGGCTGAACGACAATTCGAAACCCTAACCCTCTTAAATCTGATCCTAACCCTAACCCAACCCCTAACAAAAGCATATGCTGAAACCCTAACCCTAACGAGAAGTTCGACCAACTTCCTTATACGGTCATATCACGTGATCAAGACAGTTTTTCGGTAATATCTCGTCAGGGGAGCATTTTAACCCTATGTCATGGGGGTGATTCTGAATCAACGTCCGCAAATACATCGATTAAACTTAAAGTTGGTTTCAACTGTCGTTTAAACCAAAACGACAGTTGAAACCAATCAAAAACTTTGGTTCTATTTCTATTTCTAATGGACGCACAAGTACGTACTGTTAAAGTTAAACTGATTGATACCGGCACCGTGCTATGACAATTATTACCTTTTCATACAAACAGAGATATTACACTACAATAGAACGTACCTGTAAGACTGACCTCCAGCTCGCCATTCAAGCAAATCGAGGATTTTCACAGCGTGCAGGATGTTTATTTCGACAAAATGACTCCTCCAGATCCAGTCTTTACTTTAAAAGAATAGAGATGTACTACAACAGATATTATATGTAGTTGTACTACAACAAGGATGTTTTTCTATTTGCAAGGAAATTATGAATTTTAATTTCGTGTTTCTAAATACACTGACACAAATTTTGTGGATTTTCGGAAATTCGCCATATTTTACCCCACCATTGTGTTTACCCGCCACTATATTACCCGCCATAATGATAAATATACGAACTATAAGGTAGTTCCCTTCAATCTCATAAACATTAAACTGATATACAAGGGGAGCCTTTTTTCCTTCCGGGTATAGCGCAAACCTATAATTAGTCAGTGTAATAAGCGCCAAGAGCGAGCACAGAACTTTTTTTCTCCGATTTCGATAAATTTGGTACCAAACGTTGTCTAAAAATGTGAATGAAATAAATCCACCGTGTACAGTGTAGCAATTTTCGCTAAAAATGCTACACGGCGTTTGTTCGCCGCGCGTGCTTTTTTCGCGCAAATTTTTAGTTTTTGGCCTATAACTTTCGCATTTTCAATTATTATCACATAATTATTATGGTATCGTACGTAATCTGCTCATCGAAACGAAACTTTTAGTACTAATGTTTTAAGATTTAAAGGAATTTATTTTTTATCTGAACACAATTTGTGTAAAATTTTGAATTCAATATTTTATTCATTATTGAATTTTTAAAGAAAGGTCGATTCGTACTGTTTAATAAAATGTATCTATTAGTATTATAACATAATAACATTTCGAGCGGGTTAAAAAAATAAGTGACAGTCGAGTGTAGAGTGATTAATCATCATCCAAAAGATCATAATAGTAAACAATAATTCACATTCGATCGGACAAATTACAGAAACAATTTATTCCTAAAATTAAATCAACAAGTGAAACATGACTCAAAAATTACTCAACATTCCATTTTCCAAGATACACTAGCATAGCAATTGTGTCCTTTTACTTGCTAAAGTCAAACTCTTCTGATATTGCTGAGGATTAGCAAATCAGAAAAAAAAAACCTAATTTTTCAGACTTGATCTCTACAGTCCGATTGGTGATACGCGAAACCTGGTAGAATCTTTTTCACTTTATGCACCATAGTTTTTATAAGTTTATAGTTGGCACACAGTCACTCATAGTTACCACCCATAGTAACCACTCATAGTAACCACCCATAGTAACCACACATAGTTACCACCCATAGTAACCACACATAGTAACCACGTACAGGAGCCACTCAGCGGCACTGCATTACGTACTCTTCCTATATGTGATACCCTCTAGGTTAGCAACAGGTTGTTCCACAGTAAGGTACAGAACAGCAGCAGAGAGGTAAGACATGGTCAGTATGCCCAGATAAGACACAGCAAACTCAAAGTCAGGGTTGAGGAAGAAAGCATGTCTCATCTGACCAGCCAGCAGTGTTATCAGACCCAGGTGGAGGAGGAAGACGGAGTAAGTGAGTCTGGAGAGGAGCTGCCACCCACTCCAGCTGAGGAGGGAGTTAATGAACCCTCCCAAACCACACTGGCACATCAGGATCTGTGTGGTCAGGGACAAAGACCAGGCGATCCTTGCTAGACCCTGGTAGGATACACTCTCCACTTCGCTCGGTTTCCCTTCCTGGTTGATGTTCAGCTGTATATCATGGTACAGCCCGAATACAACAGCGTACTCCACAGCAGCTGTTATTGCCCATATTGGTGTAGCACACAACACTTTCTGCCACTCCGGCAGAATCTTCACTCTCTCTGTGACCTGTTGTCCCCATTTCCAATAGAACCAGCCCCCTAATATCCCCACTAGATACGGTGTTATCCTGATCCAGGGTTTATTGTACAGCAGCCAGAACTGGTCCGGGTTAGGGTCTGCAGTTGAAGCAGGTCCTAAATGGTAATGTGCTGTGATGACAGCAGTGGTGATAGCACTACAGAGTATAGTACCACCAGTAACCATCACTCCAAGTAAAGGTCTCCCTAACAGTAGCACTATGAAGAGAGGAGCTACGAGGAAGAACTGCATGTCATTAGCAAGGTACCAGCCCTGCCCCACACAGGCTTCTGACCCACTGTTCTTCCAGGGAACCAGGTTGTTTATGTAGAGGAGGTTAGTGTACCAGTACCTCTCACACATTGCATGGGAACTCTGTGGTGAGGAGGTTACTTGTTGAGCAGTGGGTCCTGTCATGACCAGTCTGTAGAGCCACCCTTCAATCAGCATTGCTACCAAGTAGGGTAGTGTCAGTCTTACGTACCTGTGGAAGTAGAACGCTATCCATTGTAGTGGAGTTAGACCACCTCTCTTAGTAAGCTGCTTTAACAGGAGGTATGTCACCAGGAACCCGCTCAGAGCAAAGAAGGAGTCAACAGAAGGGAAACCATTAAATATGATCAGGAAGTTTCTTCTCTTCAGGAGCTGAGTTGCGTAAGTGAACCCATTGTAGGTGGAGACTGTTATTGCTAAGAGGTATGAGTGTCCTAGAACCACCCAGTTGATACTGAGAACCCTGATGCCGTTCAGACAGAGCACCTGGCCTGGTTTAGTAGCGGTGGAGAAGAGAGTCTCCATGGTCCTCTGCAGAGCGAAACACTTCATAAACCTGCCCAGTAACCACTCCGGCTGGTTGGGTGACCGGTACTTCTCCTCAGTGGGCTGCTTGTCTACATCTTCGTACGGGGTTTCCTCCGCGTCAACTAGCACTGTTGTATCGTCTTTACCACCCTCCATGAAGCTTATTATTATTGGTTCCAAGAGGTACCACAGTGTGCCTACCACGACCAGGAGTGTGAAGATGGAGATGATAGTGACAGCTGCATAGGCTCCGGCATCAAACTCTTGTTTAACATCACACTGTGCAACCCACTTGGCTGGGTCAGTGTGAATAATCCCTGATTTATTGATCAGAGCAGCAATCTGCTTGAAGACATCCTGTAGATCAGCAGTGCTTCTACACTCGGGAGGACTGCAGCCTGTCCACACAAGAGCAAGAGGGTAGCCTCCTAGAGTGAGCGGTGCGGAGACAACACAGTTCTCATACCTGTACCCTGTACTTTTATTCCCCAGTGCTCCTGTCCCGCACATTTCGTAGTTCCCCAGCCACAGGAAGTTCCCTGTAGTTACACCTGGACCCGGTTTACCAAGAGCGTCTATAAACGCTATACTCTCCGGGTTGAATGAAGTGAGACCGGATGTGAGTTGGGAGAGTTTAGCATTGCACTGAGTCTGGTTACCAAGGTTACCAAGGTTACCAAGGTTACCAAACCCTTTGAAGCTTGAGAAGAGAGAGTGTGAGGTTAGGTTAGCAAGCATTGCTTGTTGTAGTGTGTCAGGGATGTAAGGTGGGACAGCTAGTGGTTGCCATGGTAACCAGGTAGGTAGATTTTGTTGCCATGGGTTACCTGAGGTCTGTTCTATGACGAGGCAGATGAAGAGAATCTTCTGCACCAAGATCATTCAACTTTTTACTTATGAACTTAACCTACAAAATGGAGTTTGTTAGCAACTGAAATTATGAATAAAAAAGTTGTTGCCATGGTAACCAGGTAAGTAAGTAGTATGTACATTGCTTATTTACAGGCCCTGCCTGTTTTATTTACTTAGTAATTATTGTGTTTAAAGAACCACCAAATAATGTTAAATCATGAAGCTTAAAAGCTTAAAGTATATAGCGAAACACTGAATTTTGTGTTACGATATTATGGCAAAAATTATTTCAAAGATAAACGAAACAAGCAGAAAAGGGAAATAAAATCTGCGACAATGCACGCCAAGGTTACGTAGAAGTTATACTACTGCTTCAACCTCTGCAGTATGCTTGTTACCATGGTATCAGCGACTCAACAGCCGAATTCTAACCACGAGTTCACCCAGCACATATTGAATTACAGAATACAGACTATTGCTCTTATCTAAAAACACTGTAACGTCAGCGATATTCTGCTCTGCAATTTCTGCAATATTTACGATTACAAACAGTTAATACTAATTAGTATTAGTAGCATATTATTGTGCAATCTGATCAAGCATCACAAATCTGTAAAATACGATGGGCATCCAAACACGGTAAACACATAGTGAACTATGTCCGCAATTACTTGGACCCAATACATCGAATTAATCTAAATCCAAAAGTTTATGAAAAACTATTTAATAACAAAAAAATCCATGGTGAATAACTGTGGATATAGAGTCAAAATTGGTATTTCAATACGTCAAATTCCAGATACATTAGATACAAGTCTGATATGGTCATTAATGTGTGAGAAGATGTGTGGGGGAAGTGTAATATGATGTTGAAAGTATAGGAAGGTAGATAGAAAGAAAGAAAAAATGTATAATAATAATAATATGGGGAGCAAAAAGATTAGGCTAAACTGTTGTTTCACTATCCAATAAACATTTCCATAGATGCTTAGTGACCTCAGATTTGAAAATACTAGTAGACACAATCTGTCTTACCTGTTAAGGGAGTCCATTCCACAGTACTTGACCTCTTCGATGTAGAGAACTTTTATAAATTCTTTAAAGATCTCTACAAGACCAAAACAGTTCCTAAAGAATTGGTGAAACTGAATGATGAAAGTGAAATCATCATCGACACTGAAATCCTTAACAGAGATATCGACCAGGATGAAATGAAGAAAGGCATCAAATGCTTACAACATGGAAAAGCAGCGGGTATCGACTTAATTCTTAATGAGTTCCTCAAAACATCGACGGACGAAGTCGTGAAACTCATCCAAAAACTCTTTAATGAATGTCTTAAGTTTGGTGTATACCCTTGGAACACCACTATCGTTACCCCTCTCCACAAAAAAGGTTGTCCACATGACCCGGATAACTATCAAGCAATCGCCGTGGGCAGCAACTTGGGCAAGTTATTTTCAAATATTTTGTTTCAGAGAGGATTTTGCAAGGGGGCTCAAACCTCTGATCATATTTTCACACTTAACACCTGTATTGAAAAATATGTAAAAGTCCAACGGAAAAGAATCTACAGCTGTTTTGTAGACTTTCAGAAAGCGTTCGACACGGTATCAAGAGAAGCACTGCTGTATAAACTTAATAAGCTTGGTATGCAGGGGCGGCTTTTTGATTGCCTCCAATACATATACAGAAACTCAAAAGCAAGGCTTAAAATGATTAAAAAGCTCTCAGCTTGTTTTGACGTTAATGCAGGAACGGAACAGCTAGCCACCCCTTGAGCCCAGAACTCTTCAATTGCTATATCTACAAACTCTCCCTCCAGATTAACGCCCTACCCGGAGTGGAAAGTCCCAACTCAACAACCAACAGATTACTCACTTGCTTTGGGCGGACGATCTGGTCCTGCTAGCCCTTAAAAAGGATAGTCTTCAGCTAATTATTGACCAACTCCACTCATTTTGCACTAACTGGGGATTGATTGTTAACATTAAGAAAACTGCGGTCATCATCTTCGATCCCTCAGGAAGGCAGTTACTCGAGAGTAAAACATTTACCTACAGCAGAAGTATTGTAATCCCCTCGGTCAAAAGCTACTGCTACCTAGGTACTCATTTCACAATATGTGGCAGTATGAAGCTTAACCAAAAGCAGCTCAGGATCAAAGGACTTCGAGCATACTTCTCCCTGAAAAAGACGGTTGATCTCTCTTCAATTTCTAAAGAGGCTGTGTTCAAACTCTTCAATGCCGTTATACTTCCTGTCGTCTCATACGGTAGTCAGGTGTGCCTCCCCTATACCAGAATTCTCAGCAACATCTGTCAGAAGAAAACAAAGTCCGACAAAGACACACTCAGTCAATTAGCGAATGACAGCATCGAGCGCCTGCATCTCTCGCTGCTAAAATGGACGACTGGGGTCAACAAGAGAACTTCAAATATCCCGATATGGGGAGACACAGGAAGATGTCCCCTTGAAATACAACTGAGTAAGCTCTTTCTTGACTTCCACAACAGGCTCGTCCTCCTTGACAGCAAAAACTCACCACAGATTGTTCGCCATGCTTTTGTAGAGCAAAGAAACCTAGAGCTGACCTGGTTCCGAACATCGAGAGCGCTGACCGACGCATTTGACCCAGGAGCAATTAAACGAACAATTGTCTCGAAGAATGTTCCCATGCCGAACAGCCAACTCGTTCGGAGTAGACTGAGAAATTGGTTCCAACAAAAGTGGGGAAAAGCTCGACTTGAAAACAAATAGCTTGAATTCTACAACGAAGTCAAAAGCAGCTTTGGATTAGAACCATACCTATCTCTACCCAATCACAAGAAAACCCGATGTACCACATGGCTGAGGACAAGCTCCCACAAACTTAATATCGAGACGGGGCGATATGGCTGGACAAATTCAAGCATCTTCTACAGAGCTTGCCACTTCTGCTGCAGCTCAGACAGAATCACCATAGACCTCCTGAACGAGGTCCCTTTTAGTGACATCATTAAAGAAGACGAAGTCCATTTGCTTAAAGAATGTCATGTCTACAAAGAGATCAGACAAAGAAACAGCACAGTCTTTCACAAAATGCTCACAAATAGTCAATTCAGTAAATTATTTAATGAGGATTACATTTTTAAGACCAGAAATTTTGTTTCGAATCTATTTCGTGAAATATTTCCTAAAAGTAAGCTATGACTTAGAATCCATATTTCGTGCACACTTTGAAACCATTTATTTATTTATCTACGATATTATGTTCTTTTTGTTTGGTTGAATAACTTTCATTTAACTGATTGTGATATGACACATGTAATTTTGTAATGATCTTTCTAATTTCTAATTTCTAATTTTTTAATAATTTCTATGGGTTCTGTAGAGAAATGATTTTGCCAGTGGACTATTTGAGGTACAGATGATGTGTGAATTCTGACTTAACTTAGGTAAAATTGATGACACAATAGACAGACTGTCGAGGTGAAATTAGAGACATATCAAAAAGCACATATTACCATACACCGGGTTATTGTTCTTTGATAGCGGGTTCGACAGTTGAACAATTTTAGGTACATACTTTAGGTACATACTTTAGGTACATACTTTAGGTACATACTTTAGGTACATACTTTAGGTATATACTTTAGGTACATACTTTAGGTACATACTTTAGGTACATACTTTAGGTACATACTTTAGGTACATACTTTAGGTACATACTTTAGGTACATACTTTAGGTACATACTTTAGGTATATACTTTAGGTACATACTTTAGGTACATACTTTAGGTACATACTTTAGGTACATACTTTAGGTACATACTTTAGGTACATACTGGTATGTTCACTACATACTTCGAAAATGAACATTTGTATGATTATAAACGAATGAATAAACAAAATTAGTTTACATTTTTCTACATTAATTATTAGTTTCATATTGAGCTCGAGTTTAATTTTTATACCACATATCATTTCCAAGAAAGAATTGGCGAACCTGTGTCCTGGAAGATGCAGTAACATTTACAGGAGATCCAGACATTGTATTTGATAAGGTCCGAGAGTTGGCAGGAAATCGCAAGCACTGGAGAGAGATGATACGACATAAGCGGCAATTCCTTGGTGCAGGCCACTCGAATGATTGAGGAGACCTTATCAAGTATCAAGTAAGTATATCATTTCCAGTACATCGGATTCTTTCTTTACCACAATATTTTAGAATAAAAACACTGTATTATTTAATAAATAAATCATAATATTATACATAATACATATATTATTAGTTAATTTACAGATCTACAGATCTACTACTAAAGTCTAAAACAGCACTGTTCAATGATTGTGTCCGGGTAGGTATGCAGCGTTTCCAATCCCTTGGAGAACCTTTAAGATCGCCCTTCCAATTCCTCTAAGACTAAGTGAACCCCTGGTGTATTCATTCAGTCCTGTATTCCTTGCAATATAAATCAAAGGATTGATCAAAGACGTAGCTGGCATCATCACAAAGTTTGTTGTGTACATTGCAATATCTCTATCTTTATATTTTAGCATGCGCAAGATTTCTTCGATATCTTTCAAAGACTTTGCCAAGAAATCAAAGGCCAAAGTGAGATAAATGGCGATATAAGTGCCATTGATAATGATGAAGACCAAGGACAGTAGAAGTACCATGACAGTAGCTCTTCTGTTGTTTGAATTATCAGGTAGCCCTCCAGGTCCTACTATTTCCACTATAGGTGAGTTGAGGGCTCTAACGGTTAATGCACTGCACACCGCCACTACCAGTACCATCACTCCGACCAAGATAAACTCTGTCGTTTCGAGTAACGTCACGATTGTCCAACCTTCGAATACCTTCATATCGACACTGCTTGAGTCTTTGAACATTTTTACCATCATTTCTTCATTGAAAAAGGAATTAAAGAAGGATTGAAGTGCAACACATTTAACGATCTTTGTACTGGATAGTAAGGGTAAAGCGATAATAAGAGCACCCCAAACCATCTTCTGTCGAATAATATAAAGCGGTTTTAGCAAAGCTACCATTCTTGTAGCACTGAGAAGGACTGTTAAGAAGCAAGAAACTTGCACTAGAAACTGAAATGGATAATAACAAACTAGATTCCACACCACACTATACGCTTTCCATGTCCTAAATATTGTGGA